ATACACAAGTATGTTTTCTGTCATGGTATCACCGTTCCAACAAAATCGAATACATTTGCAAAAAAAAAAAGCTCGAACCGTTTCATTATGCAATTGGAATCCAACAAATGTCAGGGCGGAAATTGCCGACAATGCTAGGAGAAGCATGACAACAACAGAAGACAGGAAATCCATCTTTGAATGTAGAGACTCAACCAACATTTGGTCTGAGGTAAAAAGCACCTGAAGGCGACGACTATACGTGATTATGTTCGTTTTATAGAATTGACTTCTAACAAACCTTCACAAACTGACGTAATGGTCCTGCCACGGTGATATCAACAACTCTCTTGACATGCGGATATACACGCTCCCAGAATGAAGACAAACCTCCATAAAGAGCAGGAGTAAAACCACTGCTAGAGCCTAAAATAGTAACTTTTGTCATGTTGGCCGTTCCTTCAATCCTTTGAGTAATGCATAAGAAAACAAAGTTGCCAGAAATTGACTATACGTACTGTGAGCAATTCCAAAAACTACAATTCCTCTGCTGTTAAAAGATGGAAGGAAGAAAGCACGAATGTCTGAACCTACCAGCTCTGCGGATGGAAGCAAAGATGAATGGGATCAGAATGAGTAGCAGAGCGGAATCATGACGTACTAGCCATGACAGCGCACACAATCCAACGATGACGGATATGATCTTATCACTACCAAGGGCTTTATCGATGGAAACAACGGAAGCTGTGTCTACAAAAAAGATTAAAATTCTCACGCAATCTTTTTTTCTGCGCATACGATTACCGTCTGTTGGAAGTTTTGTCGGCTCCTCTTCCTTCAAAAGTTTAACTTCATCTGCATCTTCTGCAACAAAAACCTCTGCAAAAATTGAAGTTACAGCGGAAAAGTTTAAAACACACCAGAAACGCCGTCATCCACTCGCCACAAACCGGCTGAAAGTGCACCGAGTACCGCAGCCGATGCACCGAACACGGCAGCTCGGAAGGGACCGAAGTAGCATGATATGAAGCATAGAACGTAGGCCCTAATATAAATTTTTGTTGTTATAGGGACTAGTAAAAAAGAGTGAGGGATACCAGATCGGCAGCGAAAGAACTCGAGCTACTTTCTTGTTCACTGTTCCAGGTTGCTGCACATAAATCCACGCAGCATAAGCGCAGAAGTAGATGAACATTATTGGAAACATCTGAAAAATAACAAAGGTTGTTTGATGATTACAAAGTAAGCTAAATGGTAGAATAGAGGTATTACCCAAGATTTAGAGAAGAATAGGATGAAAGCATCAATGAAGTTGTATACATGACCGGCGCAATTGATTATGTACACAAAGGTCCGCTCATAAGTGAGTAGCTTCAAAACGATGTAAGCAATAACGATTTGCAGTCCGGTGCGGCTGATAAAACAATAACATGTTATTGGGGATTCTTATACAATTTATGTACTTGCCATATTTATAAATCTATTAACAACGCGTTTCCGCCATTATAAACACAATATATAAATTTACATAGTTACTTAGTAATATTCATAGTTGCAGGATATGTATGCCCAACGATGATAGAGACTGAATTGCCTAATCGTCATAATGAAAAAAATGCGCTAAAACATGCACCTTAATGGCCGGCACAGGACGGAAGCATCTGAAAGGGCAGAAACACCCAGATTAGGAGTGCGAAGCTCCAAGGCTAGGTTCGAATAAAACAGCAGCTGCTTCATAGAATGGTGCGCTCGATCATTTCAATATAACATTAATCGGTTTAGGATATTAAAATTAAGTATTAATCAGATAAAAGAGATGGACCTCGACATTTGTCCGTTCTGACAGCCGAATATCTCGTATCCTGCTGAAAGATTACCTTAAGGGTTAATTGACATGCTGACTATGAAAGATATATCCAGTTTGTGCATACTTCCTGGGGTTATACAGGGTGGTTCACATAAAGGACGCAAAAAACTACCCACAAATTTGCACCACTCAATCCAAATAAGAACTCTTATAATTAATAGCCAGAAAAATCTACATAAGAGATCACATATCGCATTCAAAATGGCCACCTTTAGCTTCAATACAAGCATTCAATCTCTTTCTAAAATTCTCGAGGATGCGCGCGATCATTTCCAGCAAGATTTCTCGGACGATTTTCAATTCCTCCAGCCTCTCTGAAAAGTTTATGACTTGGTGTACTTGCTCTCGATGCAGTTTGAGTGTCTTTGAAATTAGTATCTGACAAGCCGCGCTTTTGCATAGCGAATATTGCAGAACGATCATCTTATGATACCATTTTTACCTAGAAAAAGGGAATGAGACTGACCAATGTAGGACTAAAAATGCGAGAAAAACGAATAACACCACATCATAGCAAAAAAATGTTTGAAAATGCCAGAAAACTGATTTTTTATAGTCCGTCACACTTCATGTGAACCATCTTGTAGCAGGTAGACGATAGAAGGACCAAAATCAATTTCCTCAAAAAGTGGAGTTGCGGAGTTACTTGACGATATACTTATCACGAAAACGATCATTTCCTACATTTTGAGTACCATCGTTCAGTGGTAAGAAAACATTTAACCCCCCCTTTAGGCAAATAGGCGATTTTAACTTCCTTTCTTATAACCACAGTGATCTAACAGTAAAGGTTATTAGCGAAAGGTATATATTAGTTTCATAATCAGGATGCCGATTTACCCGACAGACCACTTTTTGTGTGATTGACTTGACTTCCTTCTACCTACCGTAGTCCTAACTACATGCTGTCTGTCTATGAGATGAACATGATTTTTGGGATGTATGACTTTATGAACGATAGCTCTAACTGACAGCCGTGGTGGGTGCAATCCTAACTTCTGCAAAGCTTACTGTGTTTTTGATCTAACATTGCCATTTATTACGGAAATTAAGATCACTATGTTGATAATCCTTCATCGAATAGTGATAGAAATCTTTTCGAAAATTTAAATCTAGCTGTTAATGCTTATTTAATCTAAAATTATTGAAAAAACATTTTAAATGTGGGTTATGTACGAAACATCGAACATCCTTCTATAAAACTGAACTAATTCAAAAGAATTGTTCCATGTAAGCTCGGGTAAAGTTATGGAGCATTTACAAAGAAAAAAATAAATTCTTTACGGAACTTCTATGTTGTTTTGATCTTTACAAGTTTTTCGAAGGCATTTCAAACTTGAAGAGAGTACTAGC